TCTCAGACAACACCTAAGAACAGGACCAGGGGTCTGACCCTGCCGAAATCACTAACAAAACTCTCCCTGAGCCTGGTGGAACCAGGGTTTTCCTCTGGTCTTTAGTGCACCTGGGAGGCAGCCTGGCTGAAGCCATGTCCCCAGAACAAGAAAGAAGGGAAAGCCCACGCAGGACACTGGAGTGAGGAAGAGCAAGGGTTACTGCAGCAGGAATTGCTGATTACCTGAGTGGCTGTGCTCATCCCACTGCTTCTACTGAGATTGATGCAATCTCGGATTACACTCACTTGGCACACAGATCTTTAGTGGGAATCTGGCAGAGGAGGGATTGCTAGCTGGTGAAAAGGAATTGGAAGGCTCCTGTGGGCAGGGTGGAGCCTGGGAGACAGTAGGGATGAACATGCCCAATAGCACAGTCCTGCACTGTCTGGGCTGTGCAGCCCAGCATTTATTCCCTAGCAACCCAAAGGCAAGGGAAAAACTCTTCCACTGCACTGTACCACAGCTCCCTTTGGCTTCCCAAATCCAGCAGCCTGACTCCACTGCCCTACAGAGCCACAAGGGACAGGAATATGTGGTGCTGCAAGGTACCCTTCCTTCCCAAACCCCAAATCCACTCGACAGCGTTTCCTTACGGGACGTTTTAACCTCCAGTATGTTCATTTTAATGTATTAAAGTGTGTTTGGGTTTGGGCTGAAGGACAGTCCCAGCAAGGTTTTTGCTAAAGCCAGGCACTGCTGCTCTAATGAATTGTTTTAAGCAGCAGGTATTTCTATTTATTCTGGCATCAAACAAAAACCCGCCCTGGAATACACAGAAACATTCAACACCAACCACTATGGAAAATGTTTATAATGTGAGAATTCCTTTTCTTTTCCACTCACAGCAAACCAGCTAGGCTTTTCCCTTTCCTTGGGGATGAATTCTCTGCTGTGACACAGTTAGGGGACTGGACTCAATGTGACGTAGGGAGGAAGATGTAAATGCTCAGGACACAGTACAGGCAGGACAACCAGAGCTGTCCCTTGCTGTGGACAGGCCAAAAACTGCAGAGGCAAAAGGCCAAAGAAAAGGTAAAAATGTGCAGTTCTTTATTCAGGTGTTTTACATGGAATAAAATCACCTGCCTGGAGACCCAGACCCTCATTTGCCAAACCTGGGCATATTTTGGAGCACTTTACTATGATAAACAGCCAGGAGATGGGAATGTTTTTCACAAAACATTGAGTCACTTGTGGAAAGAGTCTGGAAAACTACATTTCTCAATCACCTCCACTCTCTGCTTTGGTTGTCTCCAGGCAGCGACTCCTTCAGCTCAGCCTGCCCCTCTGCAGTGCACACACTTACTCTGCTTTCTTTTCCCCAACATCAAGCCACAGAAAAGCACATGTGATTGCAGCAGAGGTAAAGTCATTTTTAACCAGGGCAATTTAAGGATATTTAAGACACATTCTCGTTTTCCATTTCCCAATTCCACGCTGCCCCCACTTTTATTATTATCTGAATACAGGGAAGCTTCAGCTTGGATCTGGGGTAACATGTACACCGAGGAACGAGGGCCAAGCTCTGCCTTGAAATATGCAGGATCATTCCTAACTAACCGTAAAGCTGCTTATTTGGCACCAGCAGTGGAAATACTGAAGGAAAGGGGCATTCTCAATCTGCTTATGTCACAGAAAGGTTGGATCCTGACACTGTGCAAGGCTCCAAACTGCAGCCTGATATTAATAGTGAGACATTAAACTTGCAGTTTGGCTGCTCAGAGACAGCTCCACTGGAACAAAGATTCTCCTGCAGGAAACGGCAGCTCTGGTTGGAGTCACAGCACGAGGGATGAGCCTGGAGCAGCCTCTGGAATTCTGAGTGCTGTGGGACAAGGCTGTGTCACACAGAGCAAACCTTTCTGCTCAGACTCTCAGAGGTCCCGCAGCGGAGGCTGTTGGAGCACCTCCTTTGGAATTCATCCCTTCTCTGGGCTGACTTACCCACCCAAGTGGGGCCATGAGCATTAACAAACTATTTCTTACACAAATGTGGCTCTGTATCACCCCACAAAGACATACCTACATATTTTCCCCCATTTTTGAGCTTGTTTCAGCAATTATGTAACCCTTCCACACTGCCCTGGCAGCTGGGCCAAGAAAATTTGAACCAAGTCCCCAAAGCAACTGCTTTCAGTGAGGGGCCCCTGCCAGAATACAAATACAAACCTCCTGCTGCTGTTTTCTCTCTGTGTCTGCATGGCAGGCAAAGATTCCAGACAGGTTTTCCAATATGGATCTTTTAGACTACAAATGAACACCTCTTATGAGCCATTTAAACTTCATGATCCCACTTCCCAACAACAGCTGGGCCTCGGTGTTTCCACCAGGAAAAGTTCTCCTTCTGGATTTCTCATAATGTAAAGAAAATCAAGGCATGGTCATTAAAAAAAAAACAAACACATTACCTAGAGCACTCTGAGCCCTCTTATTTCAATATACATAATTTAAGAGATTCCTTTCAGTCTCCTGAACACGACTGAGCAATATGAGATTCTGGACTTGTGTTGCATCACACACCCAAGACCACCACACTCTTTTTACAGGAGACCTCCCTAAGCCATGCAATCTCCTGTAGCTTTGCACTCAAAAATCCCCATTTCAGAGAGGTAGACAGAAGCTTTCAGAATGTCAGTGACTTGCCAAATGTCACAGAGTGAGTCAGTGCCAGAGCTGGGAATAGAAATCAGGAGTCTAGAGCCCAGATTCTCTGCCTTATATAGAGCAGCAGCCTCAGTCTCATAGTTTAAGAGAGCTCCTGCTCACCAGAAAGATGTTTCTTCCTTTACAGGACGGCAGTATTGCCACTGCAAGGGCCAACTTCACCCATGAGCAGGTATAAAAACACACAGGCATCTGCTGAGACCATGTTCCTCGTCTGTAAAAGTGAAGTATAAAGCAAGAAATGAAAGCAAGTTGCTGTTGTAGAGAACTCTGGGGAGTGCTGGAACCTCAGCATCACCGTCAAGACCAAACACAATGTCACTCACTGGAGCAGTTTTCTTGCTTTCACAGGCAGTGCTGCTGATTTGGAGAGGACTGTCTGGGAGTTGGAGTAAGGAACAGGAATCTGGGAACAGTGGAGATGGTTGAAACCCAAAGATAAACCTTCATAAGCCATATGGAGTAGCAATGGGCACCTTCCTGCCTCGATTGTTGCACTCATTTTAAGCCCAAGTAAACACCCCACTACACTGGTGCTTAGATAACCCAGGTACATACCCAGGGCATAAAACAGTGCCCATTAAAAACCTATTTCTCTACAACCAACACCTGTTTTTCCCTATTTTGACTAAGGAGGGAAGTTGGAGAATCCTTCACAGGGTTAAAATTTAGTACTGCCAACACTAAGCACTTTCTCAACCGGGTGCATGTCACAGAAGTACATTCATTATTTTAGTCTTCCTCCGCTATGAAAAAATGTAAACGGCACAACAAGGCCAAATGGGACACAGAAAATGCATAAGTGAAGATACAAGTGCTTTGCTGACACATAATCAAACTGTCAGGGGAGAAGGAAAGAAAAGTAGCACTGAAGAGAGCTAAGAGGCCAGACTGCTTTTGTCTTCTAAATTTCTTTCATTCACCTTCTAAATATCTTGGAAAACTATGCTGGAAAGAGCAACAAATGAGTTTAATCTTTATTTCTGTGGTCATTCACTTTCTTGACTGCAGCCACAGCCTGCAGCAAATCACTGCACAAGAAATAACTTGGGTATTGTAAGAACAGAAAAGAAGTCATAAAAATATTTCCTTAGTCATGCTGTCTCTGGTAATATAATTCCCTGAATAGAGACCTTCGACAATACTGTCTTGGAAAATGGAAAGAGCTCTGACTTTAGTCAGCATGTGTCTTCCATCAGCTTCTCTCTTTTCTGTTTTTTTTTTAACTTCTTTATTGTATGTCACCACAGCCATCTCCAGGTGCAGGTACACAGCACAAAAACCTTCCTCAGTGGAAGCCTGTTTTCCACAGAATAAATGCATTGTGAGGGATTCTGCCTGGAAAGAAAACCTGGGATGTGGAGGCCTGTCCTCGCTCATGGGTGTGTATATTCCAGCTCTGTGTTTTCTCCTTTCACCTGATCAGTCCCCACACCACAGAGAGGGAGGACCTGCATTCCAAGAGGAGCCTCCACAGGCTGTTCCAGAGCTCCTGCTGAAGGTACTTTCCCCATGCTCTTCATCACCCACTGTCAGCAGAGCAACTCCTGGGTCTGCAAGTGTCTCCCTGAAAATTAGGATCCACCCCCAGTTTATACAGAATTGTGGGATAAGGGGCCATTTGACTTTGAGGCAATTCTAAAAAAAAAAATAATCATGTGATCACCATAAAGATGATTTTGAGCTGTGCCTCCAAACACTGCTGCTACTGTGGAGATTAAAAAAAAACCCAGGAGAATAGATACAGGGAAGGTTCTGCTACCTGAGTGAAATAAATAAATAATTTTAATGTGTGACATGTAAGGACCCTGTGTATGCAGGGTTTGAACATGATTAAAGGAACATGATTAGGAAGGAGGAACAGGAGGCAGAAAAGAAGATTTAACTCGGCTTTCCCACAATGAGGGATTCTTCTCCAGAACCAGAGTTTGATCTGGGAGTGTCACACAGGTTCTCACAATGGGAAATACATTCCTCAGTTAGCAAATTCTTGGTTTAGGTGAGAGAGAACTGAAAGGAACATCATACAGACACACCAGCAGGCAGTTTCTTCTACATCCACTCCAAAGAAGATTAATTCCCGAACTCTGAGACCTCCAGGGTTTAGAAGGGGTTAAAATTTAATGGCTTGTTCATAGTTCACAGCCTGCTCAGCTAACCCATATTTGTATCACAGAGGTACACAGATTGCAAAACCAACATTACAGCAAACCAAAGAATGAAAGATTGCCCAGAAAGCTCCTCTTAGCACAGAGTTGGCTCTCAAAATACCCTCCCCTGCTCCTTTGACTTACCCACAGTGTCACAAGGCTCGTCTTTGTGTACGCAGAAATCTGTCCTAGAAAGAAAAACAGAACAGAAGTGAAATGGATCCTGTGCCTCCAGACTCCAGGCTGGGAAAAGGCACTGGAGCATGACTCACAGACCAGGGGTGTTGAGGTTTGGGGATTTTTTTCAAGCTGCTGTGCAGTCTACACGATGACAACACTGATAGCAGCTCTGATTGCTACTGGGGAGGTTATTACAAGCAATTATGTGAAACAGCTCCATACAGCACAGTCAAATTCAACAGACTTAAGATTTAGCACCTAAAAGAGCCCTGCCTCACTCTGTGAGATCAGACTGCTTCAGCAACCAGATTAAAACTGAAGCTCTTCTTTTTCACAAGAGAATTGTAACAAAAAGAATAAGACACCCGGTGATGCAGCAGCACCATCAGAAGTGGGAGTAGGAGATGTGTGGGGCACTGCCTGAAGGCACAGAACTAAAAATGTACACCCCAAAATTCTCAGTTCTTCAGTTTTTTTTCTTTTTCTTCCACTAGAAGAGAAAAGGACAAGAAAGAAGCAGGACCAAACAGAGAATGACAGATGCTGACGTGGAACGAGAAAGAGAATTTCAGGATTTGCCAGGTAACAGGTGAACTGGCTTCAGCTAAACCTGCTACAGTCAGATTTGCCATTTTATGATTTGAATCCAACACAGAGAGGTTCAAGAGGCTTCATTTGGTCTCTGCTACTCCCCCATATCTCATCAAGGCCTGAGAAGATACTACATATGACACATGCACCCACAAATCAACAAGGAATCCATGGAGCTGTGTTAAATAGAAACAGAATAAGAAGCCTTGAAACTCCCCATCAAAGCAAGGGCACTTCATGTGAGAAGACATGAGATTCCTCATGACAGAAAAACACCTGTGAGGGGAAAAGGTATTTTATAACTAAATTAATGGTTTGAATACATTTCAATAAGCACTTAGACCTAAACTTTCAGGAGCTCTCTTCACCAGCCCTGCTTTGCAGTGCAATCCACTATGAAGAGGAGCTGGAGAAAAACATCACATGTGCTAAAACATTTCAGAAGCTCCTTAACCCAAGAGGAGCTGAGGAACCATAATCTCTGTCATTATGGCTTTCCTCACTCTGTGGGGAGGCTGGTGAAAGAACCCTATTAGCACATTTGGAGTGTGCCTTTTGAAATGCCTGAATCCCCGTGGGATTCAGAGTTTAAGAGTCTGGCAGGAAGAAGATCAAAAATACTTAAAGATAAATATTTAGAAAAAGAAAATACTTAATATAAAAACAGATAAATATTAAAAATACTGTTTCCTTGAAGAAAATTATGAAACTAGGATTTATAGGAACAGGGATTTAAGGCCCTGGACTGCAGCTGATAACCCAAACCCTTCAGTACCAAACTCCTTTGAAAGTCACAAATCAAGTTGTCAAAGGCTTGGAAGGAGAGAAACAAACAGCCATTACCAGCTCTTGTTAAGCAGACATTGAAAACTAACCACGCTTGAGTGCAGAAAAACCATAACAACCATCAAAGCGTTAAAAAAAATCAGACAGGGACAAAACAAAATCGGAAGCTACGACCACACACCGGCCCCAGCCTTCATTTTTCCCCACAGCCTGTGTCTCGACACCTTGGCATTCCAGCCTTTCCGAGGAAGACTAATGACAGTCTCCTGACGGAGCTGGCACCAAGCTCCTGCTTGAGTTCCCAGAGCCAACTTGACGGAGGTTTATTTAAGGACTTATTATGTTATATAAACTGGTAAATCAAACAGATGCTTTTCTTGTGACAACAGATAGCTGAACTATTAGTAGATGGCAGGAGGCCACCGCTAGAAAAGCCTCTCTCTTCAGGGGCCATCCAGCCCTGCAAATAACAGGCAGCAGTTCTGCAGCTCTGCTCCTCACAGGCTGTTCGACACCAAAAGGCGTCTGGCACTTCCAGGCAGCTCCACGGAGGGATTGCCACTGTGCCATAAAATGAGGGGTCTGTAAAGGATCCAGCACAACTTGCAGACACTCCTACAGAGGTAGAACAACCCTAGTCTGTGATGCTGTTTGGTCAGGGAAGGGCTTGAAACACGTCAGCAGAACTAAACAGCTGCCCAATTCATTGCATGAGGCACTCCAAGTATGAAACCCCCTCAGCCCATCCCTAAAGTTCCATAAACACAACTCCAAGGGACCCCATCCTCATATTCAATGACCTTGTACCAAAATGCCAGGCTTTAAATCATCCAGACCTTACCCCAAAACCCTGTGGCCAAACAGAAAAGCACATCCAAACCTTTAGTCACAAACGAGCCTGGTGGGTTCTCAGTCTTCTTCCAAAGGCAAGGAGCCATTCCATCACCAAACCTATCCCTGAAACTCCTACAGTCCTTCCCTGGCAATCAGATGGGAGACACGGCCTGGAAAGGGGTTAAGAAAGACCTGTCTCACCTGTGGGCCAGTCACAGCAGTGACTTCAGATGGCCCCATTCTGCCACCTGAAGCTTATCTGCTGTTAAAAGGGTTTCAATCACAAGTGTCTCTCTGGCACATTCTTGAGCTCAACTGCATCTGTATTTCTGAAGTGAGAGCTTGACATGACTGATACTATAATGACATTCAACGATATAAAGGAGATATTTTAATATTCACTGCATGTGCAAAGGTCTCTTACCACAGAGACATAGTTTTGTTAGCAGAACCTTTTACTGAGCTACGCTGGAATAAAACTCTGACTCCAGGAGCTGCAGTTCAAATTCAACATCTGACCTTATCACACTGAATCTTGGATAACTCTCTTCATCTCTAACCACCTGAATCAAGAAGGACACGTGTTCTCATCTTCCAGGGGCCTGTGAAATTCTCAGTCACTATCACATGTGGAGCTGAGCAGAGGGTTTCCATTAGCAAACTACAACAATTCTTCTCAAAAAATGACAAGAAGTCAGTTGTTTTGTTCAATAAAAACAGCCAGAAGAGCTCAGAACTCCTCCTACAGTCACTCTTCCATCTGGCTCCCACCAACTGGAAAAAAATACCTAACTGTGCTCAGCTAAACTCTGCAATTCAAGTCCTTCCTGTAAGAAAGGAGGACAGTAGCTGAACTGTGCAACAGGAATAAGAAGTATTCTGTTAAATGGCCATTCCCAGCATCCTTCAAATGACATCTTTTGACCACTTTAACCCTGCAGGGTCATAAAGCTGAGGGACAGAGGAAACTGGTACAGTCAAAAACCTGCCAAAACAAACTTTCCACATGCATGTGTACATTCAGGAGCACTGTGTGCCCAGATTCCTCCATGCACAGTGAATTGCTCCATTTGCCCATTTAATGGAGAAATGTGGAAGGGAAGAGCAGGCTGCAAAAGGAATAAATACACCACCACGACAGGAGAAAAACCAAGTCTTTGCTCAATGACAGCTCTGAATCCTGTTCCTGTCAGTGTTGTGACATTCTTTGCTCTGCTATCACATGACCTGTGGTCTAACAGGTGACCCAAACACCTCCAGCCAGGAGCTGAGACAGCAGCAGTGAGTCTGAAGATTCCCCAGGGAATGCCAAACACAGAGGATCAAGAGGGGGAATGTGTTTCAGATGAGACATGCTTCTAAAATCACTAAGATACAGACTCTGCAGATAGAAGTTATTCTGCCTGTTAAAATATGAAGTACATTATCCATAGATGCCAGAGATCTGAGTTTCTGCAGGTTCAGAAACAGAATCTGAACAAGAAATGATTATAGAGACCACAGCACTATACTCAGACCTTCAGGGCTGTGACAGATTATTCCCACTGTCTCACTTATTTATTGAGCTGGACAATGGTACATCTTATTTCACAGACACAATGTGTCTCTTGCCTGGAGCTCAGGTGGATACCATGAAAATCCCAAAGGAGGAATATTGGCCACCTAAATAATCTACTTTTGCATACAAAAGAGGACATGGGGACCATCAGTTTGAGGTGGAGTTTCAAAAGGCAAGCATGCCTTGGTGCTTCAAATGAACCCAGCCAGATTGGAACCAGAGGGATTTCTTCAGAGCTTGACCCCAAAGAATCTGTTTCTAGTCCTAAAGCAGCTGCAGCTGCTGAAAATTCAGCTTCTGCTTTTTCTGGCGTGATTGCTTGTGCTGGACATGCTGCTGCTCCCACCTCCTCTACCACTGGTCCATCTGCACAGTCTGGGGAGGGTCCAGGGACACACACACACACACACACACACACACACACACACACACACACACACACACACACACACACACACACACACACACACACACACTTCCAAAGCCAAGAGGAGAAAAATTCATTTCCCTGACACAGGAATCGGGTGCTGGGCCAGAACTCTTCCAAGCAATGCAGCATCCTCTGTGCAGCAGAAGCAGGATGGGTTAAGGATGACAAGACACAGCAAGAAGGAAGGAGAGCCTACAAGCCACACTGTTGGCCTATCCAACAGGAAAAATGCTCCTCTTGTGCACAGAAATGTGCTCTCTGGCCTGAACTTTCTCACCAAAGCTGAATCTAGTTTTTAACCCAACCAAACCTGTACTTCACCAGCCATTTTGAGTGCAAAACTCTGCAAATCTATGGAACAATTCCTCCTAAAATTTCTTTCTCCAGTTCTTCCTCAGATGCCTGAGTCCAGCTCATTTAGCCTGACATTATGCATTCAATTTTAAAAGCTGCACAGATGAAATGCTCTGCTCATTCCTTACACCCCACACTCAGAGCACATCAGAAGAGATTCTGTCTGCCTCACTTGTCAGGCAGGACAACTGGATGCCCAGATGAGTTTAACAAAAATGTTAGTTATTTATTTAGGCCCTGATCCAGTGAAGCACATGCTTAACTATAACCAGGATATGCAGCCCACTGACTTCAAAGGAACTATTCACCCTGTCTAAACTGTTAAATATCTGTAAGTGCTTGGTGGACTACAGTGAATACAGAGAAGAGAGGAGGATTTAAGGGAACTGTCTGTGCAGGTGCATCCTTAGGGACTCTGCTGGCCTCATGCCCAGCTCACCAGCTATTTTACTGAACACTCACCACAATCTCATGGATAGTTTGCATTGGGAATGGTAACAAAATAGATTACTACAGTCAGGATGGCAGTTTATGCAAAAACATATATTTCTGCTTACATTGTTGGCAGAGAAAAAAGGTGAAAGAGGTAATATTGAACTGCAACACAGACATTTCCTGTCTCAAACTGGGGAAGAAGGGAGTAGGAAGTAGTGTTTTTCTGGCACAAGGAGCATCCATATTACACTATAATTTTGTGCTCACTTCAATTATTCAGAGATCACTTCTATAACAGTGAATTCTTCATTTACATCTTCAAGGATGCAAACAACTTAAAACACCATGGATTTGTTACTCAAAATGTATGGTAATTGTGAGGAACATTGTACTGTGAGGTTGAGCTCAGGTAGTTAGAGGAAAAAAGACTGTTGTCCCTACGACATCCTTTTTCTCTCTTTATCTGATGTGTTTGATACATCAATAAGTGGAGGAGCTCCAAGGTGCAAAGGATTTTGCTCAAGTATTTATACAAAGGTTATTTCACATCTGAAATAAATGCAGGAGTTTCCAATTACACAAACAAATCAGGACTGACACCCCCTCCTCCATCTCAGTTCTGACAGAGGAGGGGTGTTACAGTGGTTATCTCCTCAGGCAAAGAGAGAGGAAATTAATTCAGCTTATGGTATTCATCTTTCATTTTCTTTAGGAGATAACTCCCTCACCACCTTCCCCACTGCTGACACACTGTCTGCTCCTCTCAGACTGTTCAGTTGATTCATCTCTAATTGCACAAAGACCACTTGAGCTCAGCTGTGCTCTTAATCCCACATTTTTCTTCTAGGAAGAAGTGCTCATGCTCCAAAACCTCACCTATTTCTTCCACTTATATCAGGTGGTGTCAGAAAAAAAAGCATCTCCTGTCTTGCCTGATCCTGACTGTGACATGTAGCAGTGACCACGACCCTGACAACATTTAGGTGTTGTTACCATACCTGGTTACAAAAACAGCAGCATCCACAGGAGGGGTGTCATCCCTTGCACCAGGAACCTGGTTGTTACCAAGGTATTTTGCTCCACCATATTCTTCATTCTGCCACTGACAGAAGCTCTCCAGAGATCTCTCTCCATGATGCCCGATAGACAACTTTGCCTTTTTGGGGGAAAAAAAAGGTACAAGAGAACAATTATCAACCACAGTCTTTACATAAAGCATCAGATCTCTGATGAAAAATCACAGGCTCAAAGACATAGATGTGACAGAGTGAAAAGTGTGAAACCAGCTTCATCTGAGCAGGTGAACTCAGGACTGTGGACTTCACACTGACTTCTGCCAGTTGATCTACAGACCAAACTCCACCAGCTCAGCAGTCACAAGTTTCTAGTACAGCTCTACATTCAAAAGCCTCCTGAGTCTGGAATTTATACATTTGATACCAGAGCCATGTCATTTTTAATCTCTGTAAGAGTTAACTCCCGAGACTGGTTTACAACTATAAGCAAACAAAGACTTACCAGCGAGGATAAATAAAAGGATTGTAGTTTCTTTCACTCCCCCAGCCCCCTACACTTCCCACCTTTAGTGCTGCCTGGTGAAGTGTGACAGGCACCCTCACAATTTGTGATCCTGTGGCCAGACAGACCCCACACCCCCCTCCCACCCTGCTCTGGGAGACACCACAGAACAATTGCAGCAGCAGGGCAAAAATGAGTTAGAACTCACTGGGCGGTTGTGGAGCAGGACGAGTTTGGTCACTCGAATGTTGACTTTAATTCCAAGGCTTTGATGCTGAAACATGTTGTACACCTGTCAAAATGCAAAGAAAACATCCACAGCATATCAGCAACGATACCTAGTAATAATTGAAGAAACTAATTGCGACTGAAGTTAGACATTTGTCCTGAAAAACTGACACAGAAAAACCCCAAATGAGTTGTGCTACTACATTCAGCGAAACAAAGAATTTTTAAGAGCTACAGTGTTACCAGCTCTAATAGTTCCACATACCACAGGGTAGCCACAACACTTGCAAAACCAGAGTAGGTTTGCTCCTACCTCCTGCACTGGGCTTCCCCACCTGACCAATTGGTCACAGACTAACCTGAGCAAGATTCAGCATTCAAGGATAAAAAACATTAAAAATAAACAAAAAAATACACAAGGCCAGTTGCTGAAAAAAAAAAAAGAACCCCAACTTTTAACTGGAATAGACAAGATAAAAAATAATGAAGAGGAGAAAAATATTCCAAAGGAACTCTATGAAACAAAGTCTCAGGAACATGGACATACGTTATGAAGCATCCAACCAACATGGATCTTCGGCATTTAAATATCAGAGATATCTCAATGCAAGATGAACTAATGGTGTGTTTTAGACTTCAGGAAATAGAATGGAAAAGCAATTTCCCTCTGTTATTTTCATATCTTATATGAGAGAATAGTAATAAGGCAGCACATGATGACACAAGCCTCAGGAAATACAAAAATAGCACCGGAAACTACCTTACTACTTTCTCCAGATTTTGCATTCCAGTTCAGATACTTCACCTCATTTTCAGAGGTTAGAATATAAGATTTTAATTGATGCCAGAATTTTACTCCCCCCATTTCTCCACGTACAAATGTTTTAACTAGACTATATAAAAAATGTGAGGGAGGGGTTTATTTTAAAAAGGTGTAAAATACCACATAAAAATCACTGGATGAATATTGCATTCGCTATTTAGTCAAAAAAATAAAATCAAGACCACTGAAGAGAGACTCTTGACAAATGGGAGTCAGGATTTGGCCCCAGGTAAGCTGTATTCCTTACTCATTTGGCTACAAATATCACAGAGGCCCAGCTAACTTCCTACAACGAACCCAAGACATGAACACATCTTGGATATTATGTTTTCAACGCTTGGTATTTTTCCTATTTGTGCAAATACTCAGGAATGTGCTCAATGTAAGAGTGTTCTTAAGCTCTTTAGTGTTTGGGGTTGGATTTAAAGCACACACGTAAATGTTTCCTACAATTTAGGCACAGACTGCAAGACAGAGCTACTCAGTGTTTGACCCACTGACCTTCAGTATGAGCACAATGAGCCATTTATCTTCCCTGGGGCTGGTGTACAAATGCACACAAGTGCTGGTACTATTTGCTTAGCTCGGGGGTATGTTGGTAGAGCAGCTCAGGCCTCTCACTACAGACCTGGGGGGGATAAACTTGACACTTGCAGGGAAGGGTTCTGACAGATGCCCCCTGTGTAAATGGAGACCTGGATGTTCAGCTGGGAGGGTCAATGGGGCATCAGGCTGAAATCGCTCCTGTACCAACATTTGCCTGGGATGGATGCCTTTGGTTTGCCCAACCTGCTCTAGCTCTGACCCTCCCAGAAAGTTTCCACTCACGAAATGAGGGTAAGTACAGCAAACGTTCTTATCACTAAGCCTAATGGTGCTTGTCTTCCCATCAGAGCAGACAAGCTGTCTGCCTCCAGACCTAGCACAGACCATCCAAACACCACTGATTTCAAAAGGTAGATTTCCATGGCAAAACCAGCTGCTGGAGAGTTTAGGATGTCATCTTGAAGGCTCTCAGCCCTTCTTCCTTTTCTGTTGTGCTCTCTGTCCCAAGGATAACTTTTGACTGCACTTGGATTTGCATCCATCAGTGATCTCAGAAGAGCTCAACCTACCAAGCAGCAGCAACAAGTGGATACTAAACCAAAAGGACACCAGGCATGCAAAAGAGTCTTCACTTTGTTTGTTTATTCAAGCTTTGTTTGCTTATTTTCTTAAATGAAGCCCAAAGAAGCCCCAGATTGATGACAGTTTGTGTTGCCTAGACCGAACATTAACCTTTCCCTCCAGAGGGAGATCACTTAACAATTACCATCACAGGCAACACACACTTGACTTGGTGAAAACTGAATTTGCCAACTAAAATAATTTGTATAAAGAGAAAGAAAGATGAATTAGAACAACTCACTGCATCCTATGGCTTTTCCGAGGCTCGACCTCCCTCCTCCATTCCTGACTCCTTCCCCCTCACCTGCAGCCATGCGGGGGGATGTGGAATGGCAGCTGTGGTGGGTTCATAACAGCTCCTCTCTGCTGCTCCTTCCTCCTCCTGCTTTTCCCCTGTTGCAGTATAAATCCCCTCCATGGGCTGCAATTTCTGTCAGGAGAACCTGCTCCAGCGCAGGCTCCTCTCCTCAGGTCACAATATTCCTCAGGGAACAGCCACCTGCCCCACCACGGTTCCCCACATAGGCTGCAGGGCAACTCTGCTCCAGCACCTGGAGCTCCTCATCCTCCTGCTCTGACCTGGGTGCTCACACAGATTTTTCCTCACACTTTTCCCCTCACTTTTTTTCACTACATAGGGTTTTTTTGCCCTTTTTTCAGTATGTTTTCACGGCGGCACCACCGACTCTCCTGAGGGGCTCCACCGGTGAGGGCGGGAACTGGGTCTCCCCTCAGAGCAGCCCCTCAGCCCCCCTGCCAGCCGAGCCCCACACACTGTCCTTTCCGATGGAAACCCACACTCAAATCACAGGTGGAAGGAACCCTAGTGAGAAAACAGGTTTTTAAATTACTTGATAAAAAAAAATAAGAGCCTGATTCAGCACAGGTTGTTCACAGTCATTTTGGCGGGACACAGCCGGCGTTAAACCAGGCCGCGCCAGGTAGGCTGTGCCCAAAGGAAGCACTATCACAGAATCCAGCTGTCTTTAAAATAAAAGAATTCAAATACAAAAGTCTTTCCTGCTCAGAATTGGGATTCCATCATGGCAGCAACAACCTTCTTGCCTTACTCACTCAGCCAACAAGGAAACCATCACCCGCAGACTTGGCGTGTCCAAGCTGTTCAGACACCATGTCCCAAGTGTCCATCATCACCCTGTGAGCTAACCATGCCAAGAAAGGTGGCTGGGATAACTGGTACCAGGGGATTAGGAATGGGATTTCCCACTGCAGATGTTCTCAAGATTTCCTGCTGCACGGACAACATGCATTAACAGAGACACTGACTCACAGACACCTCCCTTCCCACTCCCAATACCATGGGCCACCCTTCCTCAAGCCTGCAATTGCATCACACCCTTGAGGCTGCTGTGACCATTTGCAGCAGGGGAAAAATAAAAATATTTGGGGTATTTTAGAAACTTCTAATAATATAAGGCAGCTGGGATCAGGAGTTCGGTTTCACGAAACCCGCTAACACACTGCCATGGAACAAAATACAAAGGTTGCTGGTTTAGGACATCACCACAGTGGCAGAAAGCAGCTTGGCTGGAAGACAAATGGAGTTTCTTGATCACTAGGCTGAAGGGAAGGGATGGGAAAAGTGGTCAATGTGACTGAAGTGTCGTGGTTGCCCTGCTGCAGATTAACTTCTTGCTGTATTGACTTCTCTGTGAGGAGTCACCAAAAGTAGAGTGAGCTTTGAAAACAGAGGGAGAGATGGTAAAAATTATCCAAACAGACAGAAAAAAATGGAAGGCAAAGTGCAGAAAAACAAAAAAAAATAAAGCGGAAAAAAAATAAAGCTGGTTTCTGACATCTCCCTCCTTCATCTGCACTTCTCTGACAGAGTTTTACTGAACAGAATGCTCTAGAGAAAAGAGGAGAGCTTGAAGCCTGGACCATCCTGCCCTGTTTGCATTCCTCCTACCTTTTTTCCTCCTTACAACTTTGACGTGGATGGGGCAAAATAAATGCAGTTTTGCCATAAGCTGTCCAGGCCTGCCCCAGCACGCATAAAGCACAACCCAGACATAAGGAATTGGGCTGAGAGAGGAACTAAACTACAACATTTTAATTTTTTTATAATTCTCAAGAGCTTCCTCTGCAGGTGGATGGGGGGAGGGAGACGTGTGGGTTTCAGATGTTCTGGAGTTCAGAACAGCAACCCTGAGGGTAAATTGACTTTTTTCTTTTTCTTCCCTAAGCACTGCACTCAAGCAAGAGCCTTCCCATTGCCTTGGCTGCTGGACAAGGTTTGGACAGCAGGAGCATTAGTCAGGTTACTGAGGTTGTCTTTCACTTGTTTTGAAAAGTGCTATAGGATTTCTAACACCCACCTAAAGCCAAGCTTTCAAATTACTCCTTTAAACATTATGAAAAAGAACATATTCATGGCTCTTTATAAGATACAGTTGACATAACTCTTTCTCCTGGGGCTGCTGGAGCGAGAAATCTGTAGACAGTGATCAAACACTTATATCCTTTTCCCTTATGTCCCTGTTCCCATCATGAAAATTCCAGATCAGGGTAAGGGAGCTGATTATCAGTGGCAGCTCTGGAGCCTCAATGTGCCAGCCCCCAAGAGCACAGATATAAATCCATCAACGTGTGCATGATAAAAATGATTTTATCCGCTTCTTTAACATAAAAAAACCCTCACAGGGGAAATCCAAAATGAAAAACAATCCGTAAAGTGTAAAATCAGGCTTCAGAGAGTAAAACAATATCACTGCTAAAGAACAACATAGGAATTTTCCCTCTTAATAACATCCAAAAGATCACTAACTTCAAGTTCCTGCTTGCTGCTGCAAAGAGCTTCCACACTAATCTCATGGCTTAGAAACAGCTGCAGGAGAACTAACACTCACTGCAGTAACCTACCCCTCCATGTTGGATTCTCTGAGAAAAAGGCAAGCTCAAAACCAAGCCACACTTGTAATTTATTCCAAAACCCCAAAAAATGCACTTAGGGCAGAAAAAAAACCCATCCCAACTCTTTTTTTTTTTTTTTTTTAATGTTTTTAAACCCATAGAAAGCAGCTGTTGAATTACTATGTTGTGGTCTTGGAAATTCAGACATCTCTGTCCCTAAATGCTCAGAGGGTCAGTCTGGGTGGGACTTGGTTTGCAAAGTCAGCTCTGCACAACTGTGAGGAGCCAACATTCACAAAGTTCAGGTACTGGCTGAAACCAGTCACTCCTCATTATTAAAAACACTCCAGCCATGGACAGGGCCTTCCAAAGGGTCTCATCCTCATCTATCATATGCTCCAGAATCATTTGAATCAGTTTTTTCCAGAAAGCTCAAAGCCTAAACCATGAAGACCAGCCAAGAAGAGGCCAGTGCAGTTTCTCTGTGAGGACACAGAATCTTTTTTCTTTCAGACGAGAAGAAGAGGAAATAAAAGCATAAAACTCCTGCAAGAAAGAACATCCATCCAAACAGCTCCACATGGATGAAAAGAAATGAGAAATTATAGCTGCCAGATGTAGACTAACAGAATGGGTGAGCAAAATAAGCATGTTTTTAAGCATCTTTTACCACCAAGGCACTTGGTTTTGGAATTTACAGAAGTTCTAAACACTGGCGACTACAGAAGGGCATGAACAGGAGATGCTCTCAAGCCAAAGGAGGCACAGGTGAGACAAGAACTGGAATGTAAACACTGCAACACTGAAAAAGCTCAATAACAAGGGAATTTAACTTAGAAAAATAAATCAGCACCTCTATTTAAGTAGCTGGGTTTGAATTTCTATAGTTCTGCTAGTATCTCTCCTTGACAATGTCCTTACATTCCACATGCCCACAAACTCATTGCCTTGCTAAGGCTGCAGATGTCCATGGTGGCACTGGACAACAACTTTATCTCCTGTTTGGAAAATCGAGCTGAACCAAACACCTTGCCAGGAAACAAGAAAAGGTTTCTTTTTAGCAGTGGTGACTTAAAAAAAAATCCCCTCAAATCCCTGGAGCCATGCTTGTTCCTACTCATACATCACAGAGTACCTTGGAGGGAAATTCTTCCATGATCTTGGAAAAATCTGTCTTACAACTTCAAATATTAGTTCAGTAAATGGAAGAATTTGCACCTCTACAGTGACATTCACAAAAAACCAAGTACTTCTAATGTGAGTCTACTCTCTGTTCAGGGGCACAGTCAGAACTACAGAATACCATTAAAAACACAGCATTTGCTATGTGAAGTACTACCTGTTATTTCTGGGTTCCAAAATGGGTTTGCTGTGCTTTTTGCCTGTTATTCTAGAGGAGGGTGGTGGGTTTTTTCCCCCCTAAGATTCTCATTTAACAAGGGAGCAATAAACCTGTATTTTGTAATGCTGAATTTTTTTCCCCTTCAGAAATTCTTGTAACATAAATAGATATTAAATACTTTAAGGCAGATCACTTTATTTAAAATGTCCATAAATATAAAATGCATTAATAAGACCTCTTAATGCTTGTTTTGTGGTTTGACAGTAAACGTAATGGCTTACAGAGAGGAGTTAAGTTAATATACCCCTGACCAGTAATGTTCTATTTGCTTAAATACAAGCACCCAAGCCAAAATTAACATTCTGGTTTCTTTTAGAGGCAGCCTGCCATCCTGCAGTATAGCTGAATAAGCACTGCCTAGCATCATGGGGCAAATCCTGTCCCCCAGCTAACAGTCACAAAAGGCTGAGAGGGAGGCAGGGCAGGAAAAATCCCAACCAGTCAAGAGCTTGGCCAAGACCGACCTAAAGCACATAACTCACTCTCTGAAATAACGTTTTTCTGCATTATTCTTCAGCTTCTTTTGCTGGGATGAAGATCAGCTTTCATTATGCAAATGGAACATTAAAATCCCCTTGATTTTACCTTGTTTTACAGCCTCAGAATAAAGGATTTATGCAACAATGCCATCTATGTGTTTGCCTCTCCTTATTCCTCAGTGTCTTCTGGTCTTGCCAGTCACTCACAACCAGTGTCCTCAGGGAAGCAGAGGCCTGAAAAATTATGTTCCTACGAGTGTGGGAATGTAGGAGAAAGGAGAGAGACTCCTCCATTGCCCCTCTGAAGGCTGGAAAACTGAAACGTAAATTCAAATCTGAAGGCTAAAAAGGTGAAACATAAATTCAAATCCTATCAGACATGAGAAAAAACTCACATAAGTGAGACCCTGAGAGCAATGACTTAACAGTGGGAAGCATTTCAGCTGGACTTTGCACCCTGGGAGATGTCACATAACTGTGTTCCTCATCCAAGAGTCCTCTTCCATGTGCACTCTCTAACGTCCAATAAAGGGGTGAGCTCACACTACAGCATCAGAACCAAGCTTAAAAGTCCATCAGCTAAATCCATTGGAAACTAAGCTTCAATATTTGTGTAATAAATGGGTTTAGAGAACCCAACCCATCTATCAGCACCTCTCCACACATGTGTGTTCACACCTGGCGAGATGATGTTGCTGAGATGTTCTGCAGCACCTCAGCCTGGACAGACAGCAGGACTCACAGCCATCTTTTAAGGCTTGGTCTACCAGTGTACTCATCCCTAACAATCTTCCTCTTTATCTTTGTGTAGATAAAGCTACACAACACAGAGATTCCCAATGGTTATGCTGAAATCACTGCCCTATTGGCATAAAGATCACAGATGACTAGACACATCTGAAAAGCTCTCACAGCCATAATGGCATGTCCCTGTGGAGCACAATGGCAGATTTTTAGCATTTCCCTGATGAATTAGTGCAGAACAGAGTTTAGGAGGACCCTTGAGTTGCCACTGCAAACAAAAAGCTTCCATCACCCCTCTCAAGGTCCCAAGCACTCAACACAAGGAAGAAATTCAGCCTTGGCATGTTACATGTGAATATGCATTTCTGTTAGTTCAAAAAGTGACTTGAGAAGCAAATTTGTTCAGAGTTGAACTTATGTTCTGCCTGCTCACTGCCAACCTGATATAAGAGTATAAAGTTGGAAGACTGTGGCTTTGAGAAGAATAAGGCTCTTGTGCCTCCAGCAAACACATCCTTAAACACAAGAGAGTGGGTAAGGAGACCCTGAAATGATGGTGACATCCATGGATTTGTTGCAAGGAGACATTTCCTACAAACCAAATAACTGCAGAGCCACAATGAAGCCCCATTAAGTGACCATTGTCACAGCACGGTGGAAGGCAAATAAAGGGAGAGGAAGGGACACAGCAAAGCAGCTTGTCAATGGAAAAGACTAGTTAAACAAACTCCCTGCTTAATCAGCAAAGCAGTTCACTGCAGGAGAGCTCCCTCACACCAGTGCTTGATAAAGCAATACAAGACCTCTTAAAAAGCTGTTGTTCCAGAGCTGGTTTCTGCTGAGCATCCATCACTCAGCTCTTCACTGGGAAGCAGGACCAGGCAATTACTGTTAAGAACTGTTATTTTTTCCCAAGCCAATTTGCTGCTCATGAACAACAGCAGAGACACAGGGAGGAGAATGAGCTGTTCCTGGATATTACAATAGCATGGGCAGAGGAATAGGAGCTTCCTCCAAGACTTCCTTGTGCAAATGCCTCTGGAAGGACCCCTGCCGTCTCTGAGCAGAGTTTTCCATGTCCACATCCAATTTAGCCATTATCTCTTTACAGGCACTGCCAACAGCTGAGTGAGCATTCACTGAGGGAGGCTTTGTGTTCCCTTATCAGCTGAAGCAGAAGGCTTCACTACAAGGACAGCTAACAAATTAACACCCCCACTCCACGGGAGCCTGCAATTTCCAAGCATTCTCCTCACTCCCGACAGATTCCCTGCAGAATTTCTAGAATGCTTCTAAAGCCCAACTCCACCAACTACTCGTAGGTATGATCAGCACCACTTCATGTAGCCCCAGAGGTTGCATGGGATCAGCTGGCAGTTTGGTGATAAGTTTTCCAACTGAAGCCACCATTTTCATTATGTAAAAATGAGAGATAAAAAGTGTTTTGGACATAAAGCCAGGTTTTCTGCTGGAAATCAATATGACTGCTGGCTTCAGTAACACTTGGACTGTCTGTGACACTGATCCACAGAGAAATCTCTCTTATGAAAGAGGTATGCCACGGAAATCTTTAGGAACCCAAGAAACATCTTGTCAGATACCACCATCTATCCACTCCTGGTCACTCTCTTCCAAGGCAAACCACAGCAGTACCAAAAACCTGGTAGAAAACACCACTACTGAACAATTATTTTCTAACTGAAAACTTGCAATTCCAGCTTAAAAAAAGGTTTTTTACTGTGATGTCCTTCGGCAAATACAAGGAATCGCACAAATGGAGAAGAGGAGGCACATAACACACGAAAACCTTGCTCGCACCTCAGGGTCAGAACAGTTCCCCATTTCTGCTGTCAAGTAAAGCAGCTTGAACCAACCCTGGATACGACCTGCTTGCTCTTGCTGGTTCTTTTGAGAGTAAAGTGCCCACTTACCATATTCATGACTGTGAGGATGAACCTCTGGGCAGCCTCTGCGCCGTGGTATTGGACCATGTCAGCATCTGCCACCACCAGAGTCTCCACCGTGTACTCGTTCGTGAGGCGAATCGCGTTCCTTCTCTCCCTCCAGTCACTGGTTGATTTCATTTTCTTCTGTCTCTTCTTTTCTAAAAGTCAAAATACTCCTTAAGGCTGGCAGATCATAATAAAACATTTATACCCCTTTCAACAAACATTCTCATGTTCAGACTTTAAGAACACTTTAATTAAAGTGCTCTTTGCTGGTCGAAAGGAGCAACCAAGAGGTTCCATTGCAAGCCCCTCTGCACGTCTGTGTGCAGAGTGTGTGAGACCACCAGATGACATGCAAATAAGGAAGAGGATGGGAAAAGAGAAGTTCAAAAAAGCCAGAGTTTAACTGTAATTCAAACCAAGAAGCCCCGCTCTTGTAAAAAATGTGAAAAACTGTTTGTGAAAGGAGTAACATTCCACTATAATGGAGCAAGTACTAATTAAGGAAAAGTCTGTTGAAGACAACTTTAGGATAGGAAACCATGCTTTGGGAAGCAATGTACACTCTAGACCCTGCAGCTTCTCCACAGCCAGGGAAGTTGTAAGATATTCCTGGAGTCAGTATTTCCATCCACTGCATTTTTACTTGCTACCAGCACTACTAGAGCAGAGTAACAGAACATAAGATAGTCTCACAATTTTTAAATTAAGTGGGATTGTTTTGGAACACAGGTTATTGGCCAACTGCAGAAGTCTCTGGCTGAGACTCAGGAGTGCAGAAGGTCAGGTCAGATTAAGACCTTCTCAAGCTCTCTGTGCTCATTTATTGCTGTTGGCCTGAGCAGCAGCACCAGCAGCTGCGGTCACGGCCACCTACGAGTAGAGCTCATGACCCAATTTGTTGGGGTGTGTGACCCAAAACCAGGGGACTCCCTACACCAGCTGAGTTATGAACTTCAGTCACAAGAACCCGTGACAAGGACTCAATTTAAGGACTAGAAATCGAAGCAGGGATCAGCCACCATTAACACAAAAATTAAACCACAGAAGTTAAACCTCCCTTCCTCCAAACTGAGGGACTGATGGATTAGTAGTTTGTCTTCTAAGCTGAAAGGTGAAATGTGCTTCACAGCTCAGAGGCAGATGTGCAAAGCAGCTGAGGCATGAACAAAGGAGAAATTAAGTTCAGATATGAAACTGAACCCGCTCACTTCGTTGCAGTCACAAAAAATGTGTTGGTGTTTTCAGCTGTGAAATGAAAGAAAAGCAAATGAAGTCATGAAAACAAATTTATTTTTGCAATAAGAAAAGATCTGCCAAGATTCACTGAAACTATCTCTGCTTACTGCTCAGCCTGTGATATATGATGGGTAAGATGCTCACACTGGTACTAACACTGATTCTTTTTCTTATGGAAAAGGGAGCACACAAGTCCTGAAACAGCATAAACACAACAGTCAGTGCAAAAGTGACACGGGATGGACCGTAATGGATGATCAGACACCTCTTATGTCACACAGCACGTGCTGCTCATTTCCCAGAGCAGAGAGTCACTTTTTAATTTTCTCTGGACTTAACCTGAGGCCCTCTCTGAGCCAAGCCCCACTCTGCAGCAGGCAGAGCTGAGTTAGCGCTCACTCATCCTGATCTTCCACCACCTGTTCACCAGCTCCCTGACAGAACTCAGCTTTAATTTCCCTTCTTTCCCAGGTGAACAGTTTTCCCTGAGTGACCCTCCTGAGCTCAGGGTGATAAACCCCATCAGCTGGAAGCCCCCTAAACCTCTGCCTTCACTCATTCATACATTTTCTGTCTTGTCAAGGTGCACATTTGCACGTGTCCATCCCACCTCCCTCTCCCGAGTTGTCTCCCAGCCATCCAGCACAGCTCTGCACGTGCTTTTCTGCCCAAGGCATTGACTGTCAACACTTGGTACATATTTTAAACCGAGAAAACAACCGTGAAATTTGATTTGATTTTTTTTCTTAACGGGGTTTGGAAATATCCCCCTGGGTCTAAAGAGACAGACAGGAGCCTATGGACAAGCAAAAAAAAAAAAAAAAAAAGAAAACATGGGGTGATCATAAATAATGGAAGCTACGTGCCAGCACCAAGTTTCATGGCCTTTTTACACAGAGATCACAGGACAGCTACAGAAAAATGCACAATCATGACAAAACTGCCCCAGAGCAGGGGATTTCTATGCTTCTAAGTGCTTCAGAAAGGCAATAAAATAAAAAAGACTGACTATGTGAGAAAGCAGGAAAGCTGAAGGCACCTTTCATTTGCCAACTATGACACAGAGAGGACTTCACCAAACTTTTATTGAAAAGCTCCTGTGTTTGTGTTTACTCACTTCATTCCTTTCATCACCCATCCCTCCCTCTGCACAGCTGCACATCTTTACCTACAGGTCTGCAAGGTTGTCTTTTAAATACCAGGGGAGAAAGCAGAGAAAAAGGAATAGAAGGCAAATTACTCCAGTAAAAACATTGACCTTTTGGGTTTTGCTGCTAGAAATTAGAACCTTCCTGGAAAGAGCAGCACCTCCCCATCAAATTCTTATTTTGGTAATTCCCCGGGAAATTTAAAGCTTACAGCTGGTGTAAACCCCCTACCTACAGAGAAGTTGCTCTTATGGGGGGGGCTAAGCCTAGACTCAACTAAGTCTGGGCTTGGCACTGAATGAGCTGTGTAAAAAGGCTTAAGTGGAAGAAAAAATGGGAGTACTCTGCGTTTTCACTTAAAAATCTCCTTTTTGGTGGAATAGAAGACACTTGTGTCAGAGGAGGAGCCCATTATGCTTGACTGTAGCTTGCCCTCCAGGGAGAAGAGGTCATGCCATGGTCATTTGCCATGGGATTGCTGGCATGGTCCCTCCTCCAGAGGTAGATGAAGGAATTGGCACAGCTTTGCCAATCCAACTTGGCACCTCCTTGCAGAAGGCAGCTGCACAAAACTCTGCAAGGTGTGACTTCTGGAGAGCAGCAGCCTGAAGGGACTCCTGGCAGGCTGCTGGGTAGTCTTGGTTCACTCAAAGCCCCTGGCCCCCGTTGCTCCATGAGTTCTGCTTGAAGCTGTGGGCTGGCAGCTTTCCAGGGAGCAGTGGGGATTAGAGGCTGTGTGTGGAAAACCAGCACCCCACAGGCTGCAGGGGCACAGCCAGAGCGACCTGACAGAGAGAACGTGGGCTCTCACTCTGACCCTCACCCTCAACTGTCCCAGTGTAAGCTCACCTGCACCTCAACCAGGCAACAAGGGCTCCAGGGAGCACACAGAGAGCTCAGGTGGTCACTGAGGTACTTCCAGGACAGGGAAAGCACAGCAACACCAACTGCTTGAACAGAGGAGTGAGTGTGTGTGTCCCTTTCTTTTCCTCTTTAATTTGTAGCTCCTCCATAGGGTAACTTTGCTAACTTTTCTTTATCCTTTCTGTCCTTGCTGAGGGCCACTTGCACAGTGGTCTCTCTTTGCACCTTCCTGCCCACCACACATGCCAACAGTTTTCCAGCATAATCAAGCACACGGAGAAAACAAGCCATTTGCATGGATGAACCCTCACAAGGAAAGAAAATACACACATCCCACACCACAGACATTTGGTGAAGAGGAGAAAAAGATCCAAAACCAACAGTAAAAATCCTCATTAAATGCATCTGCAGCTCATACCTGAGGTGAGTCGACTTTATGGAGGTATCCAAAAAAACCCCATCTCTAGAGCCTCACTTCAGAAACAAGTCAGCACAGAGAAGTCTCACTCCTGCCCCTGCCAGATTTATGGACCGTGGGCAGAGAATCCCTCCATGAGTACATGAAACCCCAAACTAAAATAAACACCGGCCATTAAAACAGGGATTAAATGCTTGGTGGATTCTTCACTTGAACAAACTGATGTTACAAATTTTGTGGTGCAGATGTTAAGTGTTAGTGTGAAGGCATAAGAGGCCATAAACCACGGGCAGGAGCCTGTCAGAGGAGTTTACATTGTGGGGAGCACACAGAATCAAAGTGAGCACTATTTTAGGAGTCAGGTGTTCCCTGCTTAAGAGGTCAGAGAATTTCACATGAAATATGAGCTGAAACAGTCAATCTCCAGCACAGCACGTCTATGCTGCAGGTGACTGGGCACAAGGGACATGACTCTTGCCAGTCACCTTGACAGTGTGTTACACAGCCCACCTGGTCAAAAATTCCACAAAATTCAGGCCTGGTGGGTGAAGAGAGAAGGGCAATACACCTCCAGATCCTCAGTGTAAAATGGCTGTAAAATTGCAAAGTTCATTTGCTGGCTTTTATTTACAGGTTCTTACCTAACCTTGGCTCATCACCTCCAAAGCGACACGATCATATCACGTTCTGCAGCCCAGCAGCCTTGAAATCTTCCTCAGAATGGAAAGAACCATAATCCCTACTGTGATCAGGAGCACAACAGAGCTCTTCTGAGGCCTCTGTAGAAAACTCCTTATGTTTAGTGCTTTTTATGGCAACTCAACAGATGTACAATTCCAAAGCAACCGCCCCAAATGACCTTTTCCTATTACACACCAAAAGCACTGTCTAGCACTGTCTGGCTTTTGGCAGATTCTTGCTGTAACTGCAGAGTCCTTTCCTGTTCCTCCTACCTCCCTTCCAACAGTATTTCCCAGACTCATCTGAAAAGCAACCTCTTCTCCTACAGCCTTTCCACTTTTTTTCCCTCCCTAATCTTTCCCTTCGTAATTTCAGCTGCCTCATTCTAGTTAAACCCACTGACAGCTCCTGGATGCAGTTCAACAAAAGCCACAAATAAAAGTAAAATTGCAGAGTCCTTTCTGCAAGATTGCTCTCTAGAAGCTCTTTTCTGCTGCTGCCTTAAAAATCTTCTCCAGTTCTTCCTCCGTAGCCCTTTGCTGACTTCCCTCCTCCCATGACCCCTTTAACATCTCTATACACCCCTGATGGAGGGCTAAGCTCTGTTTGATTGTATATTGTTACTTCAGCAGCATAAAAAGCAGGAGAGAAGTGGAGCAAACAGCTAAAATTAGTTCTCCCCAAGCCCCAGGAGTTTCTACAGAAACATTTCCTGGTACTCACATTAGGCAGGTTTTATTAGTTTCACCTAAAAGTAAAAATCATCACCTCTCCAAAGGAAAACGAAGCAGATCCTGCACACAAA